TCTTCTATGGAGTATTCGGAGGAAGAACCCGCCTTGCATCGAGAGGGCCCGAACCTGGGTAAACATCGTGTCCCCTACCTCCTGTTACCATCCACCTTAGACGCACAGTTCGGGACCCACTACCCGAGATCCGTCGGTTTTGACACCAACACCTAGGATACAAGTGTCCTACTTGGACACGACTTCATATCCTATCTAAACACAATACTACTCAGAGTCCAGCTGTAACCTACCTTGTACATAATATTTGACACAACTCTAACAAACTCCACCTTGACGAATATTCTCCACCGCCTTGAATTCATCAATGCGTCAAATTTCCATGTACATTGGACTTGAGTTTTTCCCATGAGTACCGCTGCTACTCCAAAGAATCCATGTGACTCCACCTGCAACTTGTAGTACCTTCTTTTCTTGACCACAGTCAACACTCGAGCAAAATTAAGTTCCTTGTTACTATAGTTTGTGCTCTCAACTTCCAGAGTATTAGTCCAAAGCCATCACACATTGATCGCAAACCTGCATGAAAGTGAACAACTCACATATTGGGTGTCAAACATAAGAGTTACCTGAACTCAACATCACCGCTCTTCCTTGACCGTCTGTCTCAAACTTGAAGAATTTCATCATTGCTTGTAGTCATCCCGAGTCAAATTCGCAGTTGTCTCACCACATGTATGACACCAGAGCCCTGGCTCGTCTCCATGTCCCGTGCTAACCGCACGCCTCACCGCTATTACCGCGTCGAGCCACTGCTGTCCTGGCCGAGTCTCAAGGGCCGCGAACCCACACCACTCAACCCCCACTGTAGAGTACCATCGATCATCACCGACCGATGACGAGTTTCACACTTCCATCAAACCACTGGGCTCCAGTCCGAACTGCATGTCACTTGCTTTTCCCTGCTGAATAGGCTTCGACTCTCTGTGCACTTACGTCGTAGCCCCTCAATCAGCACCGAGTGAAGTCTTCCAGACTCCAGCTCCACCTTCAACATGACTCCATGCTAGATGATCAGTCCACCCACGCGCCCCGTCGACTTCAAGCTCTCATGTGCGCACCGTCTTGAATCAACCCCGCCCCATAGTCTTGTCGAAGCCGCACAAGCCCTCAGCCTGCGCCACGTGTTTCCATGCCCAGAAGTCGGTCACTATCAACACCACGCTCTTATGTCGTCATCGCCGATCTCACCACCGTCTTCGTATCAACCGACTCACGTCGATCCGTCAGACTGTCTAGTCCGACCCAGGTGATCTCGTTCGATTGTATGACACGCTCGTGGCTTCCATATCGTCTTTCACGAATTCCCATCCATCACATGATACTTCCATCTCAGTTGTCATGACTTCCCGCAATGCCTTCCAGCATCCCTGTTGTGGCAACAAATTTTTCATCCTTGTCTGCCATAATCCAAGATTTTCAGTTCTGTGAACTTCTCCACCTCAAACCTGCTACCCGTTGGCGCCCTGGTTCATTGTAAGGCTGACAAATAAAAAATTACCCGAGCTATCCATGTGATGTCCAAGTACATTACATGTATACTACTAGTAGAGGATACAACTAGTTGATCTTCACATGAAAGCAACTCTTGGCTCAACTCTCGATGCTAGCGCTGCACTTCCTGCCAAAGCTTTCCAATGTACTGTCGTATCATGTTGGATTTTATCCGCTCTGATACCACTTGTTAGAATAAAACCGAGGCATACCGTCCCTCATCCGAGGACCCACCAATCACACGAGCACGACACCGAGATTTGTTAATGAGGTTCACCGATATGGCTACATCTCCGGGGCCTAACTATGAGCGCTCCTCTCCATGACACCGCTACAATACCGCACCCAGTCGCCCTGGACGCCGGCACAAGCCGCCAGCTTCCCCTGCGTTCTAGTGCTATTATGTTGGCATAGGTTACATCGTGTGTCTACCCTCGCTATATATGAGAGAAGCCTAGGATACAAGTGTCCTACTTGGACACGACTTCATATCCTATCTAAATACAATACTACTCAGAGTCCAGCTGTAACCTACCTTGTACATAATATTCGACACAACTCTAACAATAACAACAAAAACTAGTTTCCTTTTTTATCCAGAAAATGGCATTGTTTGGCTTTTCAATGTTTGTGGCCCATTAGCGGGGTCCAGCGTGTGGGAGGTGTTTGGGCTGGGGGTTGTTTGGATCGAACTAAAACGTTCCATCTAATCATAACCCGGGCGAACGTTCCGTTCGGTCTGTCGCCTCCCAAGACAGTTATCGGTGTCCAAAAAAATTGCTAGCACACGCTGGTAGGGTCTTTAACGCCCCTATGCTCGGCGCTATTGTGTTGAGCATAGCCCCACTAGTGAGTGCGTTATGAAAAAAGAGATCAGACTGGGGCAAAGTTTTGAATTAGGATTCATTATGCTGGTTTTGGATTAAACGGTCAGATTTTGGCCCGCACCGGGTGCACCGGAAGATATCCCTGGCGTCCCAGTACGGCGACCTTCACGTGGCCTGCATCGGGCTTGGTCGCGTGGAGTGGGCACAGCGCAAACCGAACACTTCACTCCTGTTTCTCTCCTCCCCTCGCACACCGAAGCGTTTTCTTCCGCTCCTCCCCACCGCCGCGGGCGACATGGCGAGCAGAGACCGGTGCTAGGGTTTGCGCCGCCGCCGCCGCCGTCGCCCCCACCACCCCCCTCTCCGTCGACCCCAGCCACTCCCGAGCCCTCCCTCCGTCGGACCGCATCTCAGCCCCAGCCCTCCTCCGCGGGAGCCCAGGTCGCGGCCCAAGCTCGCCCCGACGCCCAGTCGCGTCCGAGCTTCGCCTCGAGGTAAAAGTTCCGTTAAATTGCCTGCGGATGTATGTTTTCTGCTTGATTCATTTATGTGTGCGTGCTCTGTTCTTATGTGTGTATGGATGAAACAAGAATAGCATGCGTGGGTGTATAGATTTGCAGAAATTACTTGTCATACGCAGCTGAATTTTTCTGGGGGAACAGTAGGCCTCTTGTGCCCGACGGAAAGGATGTGTCTTGATGCGCGTACACCAGGAGATAGCTTGGATCGATGCGGTGGTGAGAGTCGTTCCCCAAGCATCCTGACTCCAAGCCATCCGCTCCTTGTCCACCACATCAGGACAGTAGACAGTTGGCTCCTGAGCTGCAGGGAGCTTCGTTTTTTTCACCCAAAAGCTTCAGAAGCATTTTAACTTTAAGTAAAAAAAGAAAAAACCTGAGAATTCCCACTTGTACATGTGGGAATACACTATGGATTCTCAAAATTTCGCAAAACAAATATTTGGCCTCTACCATGTGCAAACAAACACAAGAAAAACTAGTGCTTCGATCTACTTATTTTTCGCACAGCTTACAGAGATGTATCTTTTTCTAAGAAAACAAATGTCCTTCCACATAATATTGCAATATTCATATGTGTAATTCGTTAAACTTCTTTCAATGTCCAAACGATAAACTTCTCCTTGGACCACTGCAGCTTCGGAGCTATTAGGACTAGGAGTTTCCATTAGTATATATATTTGTGTACGCTGGATTTGATTTGTACCTTTTAGTAAAATATTTCTCATCACTCATATATACAAATTCTCCTGCTTTAGATGTTAAAATACCACCTACATGTATAAGCATAATTTTGCGCATATAACATGCAAGCTTCTAGTTCTAGCAGACGTTACCTTGCCTGTGGTATGTTAGTACTATGCCAACATCGTTATGCAGGAGAATATTTGTTTTCCTCAAACACAGAGCTTACCAATTGATATATTATTATAGAGGCGACATATTCTTTTGTGCAGGAATATTGTGTGGTATTTTTTGCTCGGACGTCTCTAAACAATTCCATCTCCATATCTCTTCGTGCTCCAACTGACTCCCAACTCAATTTTCCACTACCTGTATTCCACCCTCCCACATTTAATTGATATCCTTTAAATAAAAATATATTTTTATGGCTGTATTTGTTAGCGCTAGTCTAATGGCCATATTTTTGTCTGGTCTATATATGCAAAGCCATTCGCTTCTTGGTTGTTCCTCCACCACATCGCAATGCGTCATCGTAGTGCAATTTATCTTGGATTTGTAGTCATCCGACAATGATGAGCTCACTGTTGCTACATCTTGCGGTTGAATGCCCCACACCATGCTGGTTCTGTTCCCAGATGTCAGGTAGTTGGACGGAAAGAACTATGCATGCCAGGGTTGTTTAGCTATGGCAACATAGTAATAAACTACACTGACAAGTAAAAGAGAAATGATATCACAAATTTGCATTAATATCAAAGCATTGAAATAATTCTATGTGATTCACACACCTAGGCATATTGTGGATTTTAACAACATATAAGAGCAATCTTTACATGTTAACTAACAACATATTTGGCTGTAAACCCTCTGATCTTTGAAACAGTCGAGCCAAAACCTAACTGCAGACAAGAAACTAAAATTTTAGTTTGACCTGTATTTTATCTTTGTTGCTCAAGCAACAAACAAAATTTTACCCAGAAATAATATAGATATGCCACTGATGAGGATGGTTGTAGACAGAAAGCAGCAATGCTGGTGGGATTGGGATCCCGTCTGAGATGCTCTTACAGTTTCTATGTGAAGTTGGGAAACTGCCGTTATGCTTGTTTCTTAGTCACAGGTGCAAGTACCATAATACATGATATGAGATTACACATTCATCTTTGCACTTTGGTTAACCTTGTCTGCCTACATTATGATTTTCCATTCTGTGTATGCCTGTTGTCTTCTCTTGGTTACATTTTCCCTACTTTGCCGTTATGTTTGTGTATGCCTTTCAATTTTCCTGGTTTATTTGAAGTTAATTCTGTGAATGGGCTTGGTGTACTACAAAGAATGGAGCCTGCATAGTCAAATTTGTGTGTCTAAACTGTGCTATGCCCTATGATGATTGGAAGATTACTTGTATGAAGTTGTTCATTACTTTTTGCTTAGTTTGTTCTGATGTTTTCATATCCAGGTACTCAAAGGTCCTAAGATGGCGGATGAGGAACATGCTCAAACCTCTCGGAAGAGGGTTGCAGATAAACAAATCAACAAGGACAATCCTGAGCTTGATGATGACTCATCGGAGCAAGAGGGAGGAACATTTAAGAAAGCTAGTGAGGAAGTGATGGCAACCCGAAAAATTGTAAAGGTTCGGCGCCAGCAGCCGTCGTCAGCTCCTTCTTCTAATCCTTTCTCTGCAATTAAGTTTACCACAAGTGATTCCAGTGTTCAAGCAAGTATTCCTGTCTCAAAACCTCCACCTTCTGATGTCACAACGTCAAATGTAAGGGGCTCAATTGAGAAAGCTGATGAGGCCAGCAATGGAAGTGGGAAAGATGCTGACAAGAATGCAGATTCTAATGAGGTAGCAGAGATTCAAAAGGATGAATTGGGCCTGAATGAGTCAAATGCAGAAAACAAGTCGAATGCGCCAATGGAAGCACACTCTTCACTTACTGAAACTGATAACAAGGCAGGCAGCACAGAGGGTGGAACTGGTGAGGACAAAGTGCTGGTTGGAGAACCCAAGGTAGATAACAGCAAGACATCTGGAATCGAGGGTAAAACAGAAGATGAAGGTGCTAAAGTGAATGAAGGTGGAGATGAAGATAAAAGCAGCAAGGACGGCGCTGAGAAGAAAGATGAATCTGAATCAGGGACCAAGGATGAAGTGAATGCAGGTGGAGATGAAGATAAAAGCAGCAAGGACGGTGCTGAGAAGAAAGATGAATCTGAATCAGGGACCAAGGATGTATCACCAACACCTCTGTTCTCTTTTATGAATGTGTCAAGTGGCCATAACGCCTTCACAGGACTGGCTGGAACTGGGTTTTCAGCCTCATCATTTTCCTTTGGCTCAGCTTCTAAAGAGAGCACAAATGCTCCCCTATTTGGGCTAAAGAGCGATGGTTCATCCTTCCCTTCTTTCAATATCGGTGGTACAAACAACAACGGGAGTTCTGTTCCATCGCTTGTTGCTGCAGCAGAAGCACCAAAGAAATTCACCATGCCAGAGGGCCCAGTGGAGACAGGCGAAGAGAACGAGATGGCCGTGTTCACCGCAGACTCCGCAATGTACGAGTACCTCGATGGGGGCTGGAAAGAAAGAGGAAAAGGGGAGCTAAAGCTGAACGTCCCCGTGTCTGGCGGCGAGAGGTCCCGGCTCGTTATGAGGGCCAAGGGTAACTACCGGCTGGTCCTGAACGCGAGCCTGTACGACGACATGGCGCTGAAGGACATGGAGAAGAAGGGCGTGACGTTCGCCTGCGTCAACAGCACCGGGGACTCGCCGAGCGGGCTCACCACATTCGCCCTCAAATTCAAGGACACTGGCATCAGGGATGATTTCAAAGCCGCGGTGGAGGCGCACAAGGCGAAGAAGGCCTCGGACGCGATCCCCAAGACGCCCGAGTGCTCCCCCAAGGTGTCTGATGACTGAAAGAGACCGCCCTGGTTGCGTGTTTCGATGATGCTTATGTGGGTCGGAGGGGGGGAGAAGCGCTGGCTGAAGTTCTCCTTGTTCATTCGGAGTCTAAAGTGCACCATTTTCTGTATTCTGTATCCCCATGTCGTGATGCCTTAAGATACATTTTGCATGCACGTGGTCTCTTGAACATTTAATTTGTTGAGTCACAATTTTAGCTTAACTGGAGAGACGAGGGAGACTATTAATTATGGGCATCGATCTGAGCTATAATCAGTAATGTCTGGAAATGAGTCATTCGTCAGTGGCGTATGCCTTGAACTCTGTATTGCAGCAGCTTTCTTGCCCGCCAACTGCCTGTTCATCTCCTCACATATCCCTTTTGTAGAGGATGATGGTTTTTATATCATTGTGGTTTCACCTTTGCATACTTCATTGGAGGTTACACGAGATCAAATGACTGAGTAATCTCTTTGCGCCTTCTGATTTTTATTTCCTGCGCAAAATGGTGCTCCCTCCATTTGGAGTATTTATATAAGGCTCACATGTACGTAAATCTTATCTTATCTTACCTACTAATAAAGCACGGTCGTCTGTCACGCCATTTTACAAATAAACCCCTCAGTTTTCTGTAAATCAACCCGCGGTACACGTTTAAGTTTTAACCAAACCGTTTTTTCTCATTTTCTCAGAAAACCCCCTGACGTTTTAGACAATCAACCCGCCGTCCATATTTAAATCAGCCGAAACGTTTTTTTTAGTTTTAACAGAAAACCCCTTGACGTTTCGGTTAATCAATCTACAGTTTATGTAAAATAAGATTATTCATATCTTTTAAACCGTAACTTAAATTTTAACATGTTATATATGAAACTTGATTAGAAAAATATGTAGAATCTAAATATGAAGTTATTTTTAGCTGTTAAATATTTCTAAAATATAATTTTTGATGCAAGCTTAATATATAGTGTACGGTCTGTTTTTTTTGTACCGTCGGTGATTCAAATTGCAAATAAACATCTATTAAAGCCAGAGTGAGAGAAAAAAACATCGAGAACCATGCATACACAACTATGAAAAACCTTGCGGAAAAAAAATAACATACTTTTTATCTTATTCCAAGCGAGTGTGCGCATGTGCGGGCGCACAAAAGAGAGAGACATTAAGACTAACCACATTCAAACGTGTTTTCATTGTGTGAGCACAAAGGTCACTGTCGGCAACACAAATGTGATGCCATGTGAAACTAAAAGACGTGGGCCTATTAATGTCTTGAGTCATGGTTATTGGGTTAAGAGTGTGTGTTATTTTCTTTCCCGTTGCAATGCACGGGCTTTTTTTTCGAGCGAGTGTGTGAGTATAGAGGAAATACAAATGTGATGCCATGTGAAACTAAAAGACGCGGGCCTATTAAGGTCTTGAGTCATGATTATTGGGTTAAGAACGTGTGTTATTTTCTTTCCCGTTGCAACGCACGGTTTTTTTTGCTAGTACACAGGTAAACATGTAACATGGTTCCACGCACACCCACGTCAATAGCAAATTTGAAACAAAATAGTAGACAAATTGAAAAATTCTGAAATTTTGGGATTATCAAACTTGGTCGACCATTCCACTCATGTGTGAAGTTTCATAAAGAAACGATACTCGTGGTATCCTTAGTGTAGAAAATATATTTAGGTCCTTAGTACTATTTAACAAACAGTGTTCTTTAACATAGCGTCGATTTTGTCATTTTTTGCCCAAAATACCATGGATGTCATTTCTTCATGAAACTTCATACATGGGTATATGAGTCGACCATGTATGTTACAAAAATATTCAGCCTATTTTTCTAGTATTTTCTCGAATTTACTAAACATGTGGAACCAGGGGAAATATCTGGTACTCCCATCCCTAGGATGCTCCCGATGCTCCAAACTCGGTAGCACATTTTTAAATGTTAAATAAAATTCTGAACAAAATCCACCACATTGTCACAACATCGATGTATGTTTTAAAAAAAATTCAAATCAAAATTCGAAGCATTGCTCGAGATACAAAAATGACAAAATGGACATCAATGTAATAATGGGCCTAATCTAAAGCCCAACTTATGTTATGTATTATTTACTGAATTTGTCATTTATGTTTCTCAAGCTAAGTTTCAAATTTTGATTTTAATTTTTTTGACAACATACTTTGTTGTTGTGTCAATGTGCTGGATTTTTTTTTTAGAATTTTCCGAACATTTAAAAATCTGCTACCTAGTTTTGGAACACCGGAAGCACCCTAGGGGTGGGAGTACCAGATATTTCCCCAGTGAAACCATATTCCCAAATTCCTGTCCAGTGCACTTCAGAAAAATAATAATTAATTAGATCATCAAAATATGATTTATATGTCCAAAAATATATTTAGTCACAAAGCCCACCGCGAGGTGGCCTAGGCCTGTGACACCAAGCCCACTATGTTTATGGGGCGTCTCTACTTGAAGTACAATACAAGAGCGACTGACTGGAGGGTACCCCTTTGCAGGGACCTCGAGCGATCACTAAGAAGAAGCCCATGTGGTGGCGTGTGGTGCACCCAGCCGCCGCCACGTGCCGCTCGTTGAGTGCATACACATGACACATTTTATATATTTCTGCACATGTTTTGTGGGTTTTCGGTTTGTTTTGGGTTTTGGGGATTTTGCTTGGCTTTTCTTAGGTTTTCATGTTTTTTAATTTACTTTTTCTGTTCGTGTTTTTTTACTTTACTTATTTCTTTGTTACATCGCGTGAAGCAAAATGTATGGAAAATACAAATGAACAAAAAAAAATATATAACACTCAGGTTATGGCAAGTGTCACACATGCAGTGATGTAGTGAGCCACTTGTCATCACAAGAGGAGGTGAGAGTGACCTTTGGAAGAGGTACCGTCTAACTTGTGATTTTGGTACAAGACATGTATATTTAGTAGATCCATATAAAGCGACTCATGCCCATGTAACATTTCCCTTCTCCATCTATATAAGAGGAGGTAGGGGCCTTCCGATCAGTATGCTCAATACGCCTCATAGCCTTTAAGACATTTCCTTACCACATTTCTCAACACGTGGCACAACATACATGCTATCAGTGAATTAACCTGTGCTTGGATGGTTAGGTGGACATTGATATCTCCAGCCCACCAGGGTTCAAGTCCTGGTGCTTACATTATTTTTGAATTTATTTCAGAATTTAACTACGTAAATCTCAAAATAATATGCCAGTTCAGTCTCTCAAAGATGCTCATAGGGATAGGGTGTGCGTGTATGTGTTCATAAGGATAAGTGTATGCGCGTATGTATGAGTGCTTGCATTTATATTGTGTTAAAAAAACATACGTGCTATCATACAAATCCTAGCCCGCATAAAAGGAAACCATCAGTACATCATACAAAGGCGGGATGTAGGGCATCTCAAAGGTCTGGATCTGGGTAAATCCTTGTCTCTTGTGTACCCCTCTGAATTATCTATGTGTATACCTCCCATATGATTATTATTGCTGAAAATTACACCGACACTAATAAAATGCAAGGAAGGTATCCCTTTTGTATTGTTGTGGTTTTAAGAAACTTCGAGAACTAAAAAATTACATTAAAAAATCAAGATCAAACTTCTTGGATGACTAAACGACACAGGGGGATCGGTGCCACTTCCCACATGGCCCGGGAGGGAGGGGTCATGCCTCCCTACCGCGTGTGGGATCACATGAGTAGCGTGTGAGATCCACAGTGGTTTCCCATGGGGCTTTTTGTGTGCACCCTCCATATAGCCCTCATTGCTCCCAAATCTTGTATCCTATTTATCTTAACATGCACACATGCCATCTCACAAAAAAATGCCAACTCATCAAAGGCCCACCTCAACATGCATGAAGAAAAGTTTTCCATTACTAATTGATTTCTCACTACTTCTATTTATCTCATAATGCACACATGCTACCTCACCACAAATGTCACATCATCAGAGGCCCACCATAACATGCATGCTAAAAGATTTTCATTATATTGTGGTACTTACTATATGAAGTAAATATTTTCACCACAGAATAATCAAATACAATAGATCATATGTATTTTTAGTTTTATTTCACATATTATTAATTTGTGCTTCATATAACCAATATCTCATTAAAATTGCAACCAAGTCTTGCAACAACGTGCATGGTATCATCTAGTTTATCATGGAAGAAGGAAGATACTACCCAATCCAACCAGAGTGAAGTAATAAGGGCCCATTACATTGGCTACCAATAATAGGAGTAGCACCAAACACTCGGTTGGATCCCAAGCCCTCCACTTGCATCATCGATGGCACCGCTCTTTGCTTCTCATCATCGGACTTCCGCCCCTCTTCACTTCCTCCTTTCACTGAGGTTGCCGCCCTCCACTGCTCCTCGTCTAGCTTTATGCATCCCAAGTTGACGACACCACTCTCAGCGCGCTCCTCACCATCAACAATAGATTTTCACCAATAGGAGTAGGTCTTCACCCATAGTAGCAGGTCCTCACCATCAACATTTGGCAAGGTGAGCACCCGGCGCCTCCATATCCTTCTCCTCGAGCCCTAGCTCCTTGTCTAGATCAGTTCTTCACCACCACCAGTAATCTTGACTCTTGACTAGCTGGTTGTGAACCAGGGTGTATCCCTATTAATTTCACTTATTCATTTGAAGAATGGCCATCGCATGGAGTGAGGCGAACACTCGGGTTTGACCAAATTGTTTACCAACAAGTATGTGTTAGCAATCAACCAACACACCCTTACATCCTTGGCTTTCGAGGATGTAGCAAAGGACTTTGAAACCATGATTGGTTTGGAGTATACAAATCACTATTGAAGAAGAAATGGGACAATTTGAATGCGGAGTATCGCATCTAGAATTTTTTTAAAGATGAACAGGACGGGTGGTAGGTGGGATTACAAGAGGAACACTATCAAGCAGGCTGTTGAATGGCGAGAAGGAGGCTAGGTAAGTAAGTTGACATTTCTAGTTATTCTTATC